ACCACCCTCTGGGGGAAGAACCTTTCCCTGAGATCCAACCTGACCCTGCCCTGGCACAGCTTCACTTGTCAGACAGAAGGACACCGTGCCCCACACAGGGGTACCCATGTGGACACACACATGGGTTTCAGTACCAAGGGTAAAGCTGGGAAAAAAAAGATCAAGAAATTCAAATTCATATTGAGAAATAGTAAAGAAATACTGTTCAGTAGCACTGCTGGGGAAAAAAAAAATCTACTTGTGAGGGCAAGAAGGACTGAAAATCACAGAAACAAAGAATAGTTTGAGTGTGAAGGGATCTTAAAGATCACCTATTTCCAAGCCCCTACCATGGGCAGGGAACCATGAGAGGGGTCCCCTTTCTGCCCTGGTTTGAAGGTTCTGACCCTGAGCACACTCAGCTCTGGGGTTTGTGTCCCTGAGCACCCCCAGCTCTGGGGTTTGTGTCCCTGAGCACACTCAGCTCTGGGGTTTGTGTCCCTGAGCACCCCCAGCTCTGGGGTTTGTGTCCCTGAGCACCCCCAGCTCTGGGCTTTGTGTCCCTGAGCACCCCCAGCTCTGGGCTTTGTCCCTGAGCACCCCCAGCTCCTGCAGTGATGCCACCCCAGCTCACCCAGATGTTCTGCCCTTGCGTAAGAGGCGCCTGCAGGATCACGGAGACTGAGGAATTACAGAAATGAATATTTCAGAAAAGGAGGAGAAAAGAAGATAAAGAGACCGTCACAAGTGTTGTGCTCTCTGTGCTAAGGTGGCTTAGGGCTGATTCTCCTTCCTGCTCTGCCGAGGCTTTAACGAACGGCACCGACCGAAAGTCTTCAGGAGAAACTTCAGTGCACGAGTCACATCAGCACAGTGCACAGGAGCTGTAATCTCCTTTGAGCTCGTCTTGAGCACTCAGAGAAAGGCACCAAGCTTTTCCAGACTCTTTCTGCTCTAGCCTTTCCAAGAAGCTGGGAGCATCCTCTCCTCAGCGTGGAGATCCAGCCCCTGCCTGACGGACAGGCAGCTCTGCAGGAACAGCTCTGGTCCTGCAGACACAGCTCGTGCTCAGAGCCAGCCTGGCTGGGCAGGAGCTCTGGTCTCTGGGATCAGGCTGGCTCAGGGAGCCGTGGGAAGGCAGAGGGAAGAGATGAAGGTGGCAGACACAGTCTTGCAGCTCCGGGCATCCCCCTCCTCCCCCGCGAGTGCTGCAGCGGGGTGAGGGAGCACCGAGGGCTGCTCAGAGCACAGCCAGGGTGCTGGGGTGTGAAACGGGCCACTGGGGGAGAGAAAGCCTTAATAAATGCACTCCAGATCTTTCATTTATCTGTTAGGAGGCATTCAAGTGGTCTTTTGCTAACGACTTCAATATATATATTTCTTACAGATAGCAATTAACCTTCTGGTACAGATTAATCTTTTTAAAAAAATCAAAGATGAATTAATCTTTGAAATTCAAGTATTCAGTAGTTTCATTAATAATCTGAAATTGTCCTTTAGGTTTTCCATAATTAGACCATTCCCCTAATTTATTAATCCCACAGACTGCAGAGCATGTTTCAAATCTTCATCTCCTGCCACAATGACATATTCAAACTCGCTTGAAGTGCTCATAATAAAAGTCACTTTGTGAAGAATTATTAACTCAGAGGATCAAGCAAAGTCTTTATATGCTAAAGCATATTTGAAAACTAAGCAGGGGTAGCACTTTCTACTCATCCTGAGATTTCCTAAGATCCTGGCTGATCAGAAACAAGTTGGGATAAAACACTGAATTTAGATAATTAGCTCGCTGCAGACTCGAGGCCAGAGATAATAAATGTGCTGGTACCTATGGACTAAATCTTCCTTTCTGCCTAAAGAACCTCATTATGAGCTACAAGACAATTGTCTGGGAGGTGATGACGCCTGTGCTCTGTGGCGTGCCTCAAATTTGGGACCAAATGCCTCCTCCTGGGGCTGCTCCTGGCAGCTCCCCTGGTCATGCAGGGAGAACCAGCACAAGGAGCTCTGCTCCAACACCTCTCCCAGCTCTGCTCCAACACCTCTCCCAGCTCTGCTCCTCATGGCCCCAAGTGCCATATATCCAAATGCTTTTGAGCACTTCCAGGGCTGGTCACTCCACACTGCCCTGAGCAGCTGTGCCAGGGCTGGATAATACTTTCAGTGAAGAGACCTTCACGAACACCCCACCTGACTCTCCCCTGGTGCCCCTCGGGGCTGTTCCCTCTCCTCCTGCCCTTTCTTCCCTGGGAGCAGAGCCTGACTCCCCCCCCCAGCTCCCCCCTCCTGACAGGGGGTTGTGAGAGCAACAGCACAACTCCTGATGGACATCACAAGTCTTAGGTCCCTGGAAAATGAGGTAAACCACCCCCAAACCCCTCTCCCACTCTCCATCCTCCCCTTACCCCTTCAGGGCATGCTGAGTACACCCTGCAAGCTGGGAAGAAGAGGTAAACAATCCCCAGCCCAACCATTTCAAGAACTGGACTCTCTAAGGAAAAAAATTCCTTCTCCTGTTGCATTTCTGTTGCTTCTGGCCCGAGTTTTCCAATTAGTGATGGCCCTGACCAGCACCCCAAGCACCCCATTAATCCACTCTCCTGGCAGCAGCAGGATCACAACCCCATCCCTCCCTCCCACCCTGGCAGTGTCACAGGAGCACAGCTCATGTCACCCTGCTTTGGAAAGATCCTGCACAGTTACACACCTCACTCAGGCCACGTGCATTTGGATCCCTTGAAATACATTTAATATTTGAAGTGCAAATGATCTCAGTGACACTTCTCCAGTTTATGAAGGCCCCTGTCCCCTCTGCTCCCCTTTGACACCACATTCCCAGCAGCTCTTGACCACTCCAATGTTTTCAAACAGAGATCCAGGAGCTGCTAAAGATCTCCCCCAGCCACAAGGCAGGGAAATGAGTGGTGCTCATTGCTCCTTCAGCAGGCTCCTTCCCAACCTGCTACTCCAGCAATCCCCTGGCAGCCTGTTCAACCCTTTCCAGGCATAAGTGTCCCTATGGAGACACTGCCACCTCAGGCACTGGGAAAACAACCCCAAAAATGTGGCACCCTCCACACCCTCTCCCCCAGGCAGGGACATTGCAACGTGAACCCCCAAGGCAGCACCTGGGAGAGGGTCACAACCCATCCCCAAAGTCAGGGAACAAGGTGCCGTTTTTCCACAAGGATTCAAGGTCAGGACCTGTATCTCCAGGCAGCACAGCTCCATTAAACCTCCAGACAACAGGATCTTACATTCCCAGGGTTTTACAACCCCAGGGAACTTGTTGACAGGTATTAAATCCCCTCAGAACTTCACCTGAGCTTTATCTGTGCGACACAAGAAGTTCAGCACAGCCCTAAGAAGCAGCAGCAGCGCTGGGGATCGGATTATTCCTGTTCCAGAGCCTCTGGAAGATGATGCACTATCCCTGTTAGTGCCTTCATCTCCTAGGCACGACCTACATCCCCCTGCATGCAGAGCTGCTGTCAGCAGGGGGTGGGTTTGGGTTTGTGCTTTGTTTTTTATGAAGGATGTGGAATTACATGTTGTCTACACAAACAGCTCACATAATAAATTTAATTCTCCAGAAGGTCTATAAAGTGGGACAATATTCTTCACTGGAGTTTGTCCTTGACACAGAGAACATATTTCGGGTATGATTTTGCAACAGTGGATATTTGCAAATAAAGCCAATTTTAAATTATAATGAACTCTGGCATTTGTCACTTCCTGCTGTCTTAAATCCAACCCCATTTTCTTTAATACCACATAAATATGCATTTGTAGGAACAGACACATTTATGCAAATGCAGGTCCCTCCTGTGACATCAATAGAAGGAAACAATTCCAGATCCCACTCTCCAAAGCCCCTTTCTTTTAAGCACAGGCACTTTCTCCACGTGCTCTGGGATGATGCTGCCAGGAGGGATCCATCAGCTCCCTGAGATAGTTTGGGAGCGAGCTGGTGCTTCTGCAGGCAGAGCTGCTGCTCATCCAGCCTTGGAACAGCCACAGGGATGGAAACCTCCAGTGGCTGCTCCAGAGCAATTCCTGCCCTGCCCTGGCTGGGCAGTGACCCCATCCCCTGAGCTGGGACTGGGTTGGTTTTATTTGAGGCAATGCCAGGGCAGGCACAGGGTGGGAGGTCTGTGTTCATTCTGGGAATACAACAGAGCTTATTCCTGCACAACAACGTCGTGTTCCCCATCAGGCTCTACCCCTGAAGCCTTCTGGAACCTTGCACTTATCACCAAGAATGAATTACAGCATCTGCTGATTTCTCCTTCCCAGCACAGGATCCAACTCGAAACATTTCAATTCCCAAGCCCTTCTGATTCTGGATTGCAAATCAGCTTGCCAAGGATTTGTACCTCTATTCCCCAAAGAGCCAGCTAAAGTCCTCCTACACTCTGGTGTCTCTGGGGAAAATTTAGAGCTCTTTACCCTGAAGAATAAGATACAGGGATGGGGGTATGAGCACACAGCACTCACACCTTCAGCACAGGCCCCCTTCTAGGTTCTGTAGCAGAAAACAAAAGCAAACTGCCAAACTGGAGGGAAACATTAGAATTGTCTCAACTGAACTAGCCCAGAGACTGAAAGCAAAGCAACCCCAGCCAGGCAGAGACGTGAGAGCTGAACAAAGTGTGACACAAACGAGGGTCAGGGCACAGGACCCCGAGCTGGGGAGAGGGAAAAGCTCAGCATTCTCCAATCTCCCTTCTACCCACGGCAACACCACAGGATGCCCTCCAGGGCAACAGCAGGAGCTTGGTAAGGCTCAGGGTTCTCTATTTTCCCCAGAAATGACTGAAAGCCACTGAGGTTTCAAACTCTGAAGCTCCATAAGCAATTCAGGAATGAGAGTATCTAGGAGCCATTGCAGAGCATTGCAAAGAACTGAAGCAACCTTAGAATCAAATGTAAGTTCTAGAAAAATAATATCACATTTGGTACAAAATAACATTCATCACTTCCACAGCATTGTCTGGAGGGGGACGGGCGTTGCCTACCTGCCTCTCTGGAAATTTGCATGAAGGACTCGACTCCTTTTTCTCCATAATTCCCTTCAGATGCCAAAGTGGATACATAATTCCATCCCAAAGCTTTCACAATGTCCACCATTGCTTGTGCTTGGAAGGAATCTGGAGGAACCACACGTGAGAAGAAATCATAGCGCCTGTCATCACTCAACTCTGGTGCAGTTGAGGCATAACTGATTTGTGGGATCTGTAGAAAAAAATAATTTCTGATAAATATACATATTCAAACACTCATGGCACTTCTTGCAGCAGTCAGCTAAAGCTGGTGGCTCCAGCTGAGCTTTGCCTTCACTGTTTCCATCTCTGTTTCTCCACCAAGTTCCCTTACAGCGTACAAGCCAAAGAAACAATCTTTCCATTGACTTCAAGGTACACAAATAAAGTGGTTAAACAATTGAAGACAACTGTATATGTGCACATCCATAACGTCTTCCTTTCAGGCAATCTAAATCAAACACAGCACACAAACCATTGTAATCACTGTGTCCTTTTGTTGGTGTTCTGGTTTTACCAGCAGCAGGTGATTTGGGACCCTGAATGTAACCAAGGTTAAATCCCCACCTGCCATCGCTGGCTGAAAGTCAGGAAGACCCTTCATCAACTTTTGGAGAATGAAGGGTCCTGACTTAAGCAAAAATATGTTTATTTTTTATACTTTCTGATGGAGAACAGTCGTGGAGGTTGCTGAGCATGGGCACCCCTGTCCCACAGCCACAGCCTGGGCACAGTTCAGCTCTGTGCCAACACAGCAGCCATGGCTTTCCTCCTCCCAGCAGAGTGTGACGGTGACTTTTGCAACAGAGAGACCAGAATATTGTTCAGGACTATTTTCTCCTTGATACCAAAGTCCCTGAGCAGTTATTGAGCTGACAGCATGTTAATCCCCAGACCCATTATGCAATTGTTTGAGTAACAGTCTGGGACTGCTCCTTAAATTAAGGAACCTGCCATAACTCTCACTTGAGATGCCACAGAGGGAACAAACAGCTTTGCAATATACACAAACATGATCGTATATAATGATCTGAGCCTTCTGCCTCAGGAAAGGTCAGCACTTCATGCCTCAGCACAAGCGTCTTCTGCATTCTCATATTTTGTCTCTGCAGAGCACTCTACAAGTATTTATTAGCTTTCCTGCCTTCTCAGAAAAATAAACATTGTATTTCCCCAGGATCAACTCCGCAAAGGGCTCAGCACCTTTGATTCCACAGAGATCAGGAGCACAGGAGAGCAAATTTCCCCAGGATACACATTATATCTGTGCAGTTACGTGGACATTTGCAGCTCCTACAGCAGAGGAAAATCAGCCACTTAAAGCAAAATTGGTGCTGCAGATCCAGCAGAGTGAACAGAGAGAGAACTTTGCATGAAACATTTCACAGTGATTAACTACCCCAACATCTGTTGGTATTCAACCCAAACAAACATGTCAACTTTCACAGAATCATAGAATTCCCTGAGCTGGGAGGGACCCACAAGGACCATCCAGTCCAACCCCTGGCCATGCACACCCCAACAATCCCACCCTGTCCCTGAGAGCGTTGTCCAAACCCTCCTGGAGCTCTGGCAGCCTTGGGGCTGTGCCCACTGCCCTGGGGAGCCTGGTCAGTGCCAGCCACCTTCTGGGGGAAGAACCTTTCCCTGAGATCCAGCCTGACCCTGCCCTGTCCCAGCTCCAGCCGTTCCCTGGGTGCTGTCCCTGCTCACCCAGAGCAGAGCTGGAGCTGCCCCTCGGGAGGAGCCGCAGACCCTGCTGGGCTCTGACCTCAGTCTCGTCTCCAGCTGGACACACCAAGTGCCCTCAGCTGCTCCTTGTGTGGCCCCTCAGACCCTTCCCCACCCCTGTGTCCCTCCTTTGGACACTCTCCAACAGCTTTAGATGTTTCCTTTATTGTGATACCCCAAACTGCCCCCAGGACTGGAGGAGAGGCCACCCCAGGGCAGAGCAGAGGGACAATCCCCTCCCTCACCCAGTGATGCTGGGCTGGTGCCCCCAGGGCAGGACTGGCCCTCCTGGCTGCCAGGGCACTGCTGGCAGTGAGCAGAGCTGGGGCTGTCACTGCTGGAGATGTGGATGGAGATGTCACTGGGCAGGGCCGTGTCCCTGCTCTGCAGCTGCACAGGAGCTGATCAGGCTGAAAGCTGGGCTGCCTTGGGTCTGCAGTGCAAGGCAGCAGTTGTCTCCAAAAGCCTTGCCAGATTTGTTTTACATCTGGGGCTCGTGGACAGCAAGACTTTAGAGTGCTCCAGTCACAGAAGATTAAAGAAGTTCCAGCTGAAGCTGCTGGAGGAGCCCAGAGGGTGCTGACCATGGGGATGGATGGACTCGCTCAGCACTTTGCCCAGGGGCAGCAAAGCTGGGGCAGCTCTCAGAGTGATTACAACAACTGATCAGTCCTGAGGCCCTGGCACAGCATCCCAGAGCAGCTGTGGCTGCCCCATCCCTGGAAGTGTCCAAGGCCAGGTTGGACGGGGCTTGGAGCAACCTGGGCTGGTGGAAGGTGTCCCTGCCCAGGGCAGGATGGGCTTTAAGGTCCCTCCAAACCCAAACCAGTCTGGGATTCTGTGATCAGGGTTCTTCATTTTTAATCTACCCGAGGAATGATTTTCAGCTGACACCAACTGCTGTGGGTGCACAGAAAATGCTGGGCACTCCAAAAAAGAGTTAAATTCCTAATTTGTCCATGCCTACGACTGCTGTTGTAAGAAATGACTGGTGACATTTAAGTGGAACATTTAACCTGTTTAACCCACTATTAATTAGACAAGCAACGAGTGCACACCTACAGTCCCCCCCCTCACCTGTACTAACAGAGCCAAGTGCTGCTTTTTTCAGTTACAAATAAAAGAAAGAATGAAATATCAATTTTTATCTGTGGCAACTCTTTGTATTCCAACTTGCCAACAGCAGTTTTTTTAGCTAAAAATCAAAAGGAGCATATTCTGCACTCTTAAAAAACCAAAGCTGCTTCAGAATTGGCTGCATTGCTCATATTCCTTAGGAGACTTTTTGGATTTTAAGCCTTTTTCCACTGTTCATAAATTATGAACTACTTCAGGCTGGAGTATAAAAAGCATATATTGAGGGTTTTACCAACACTTCTGACACAATACATAAAAGGAACATAAACTTATATGTATGAAGGGTAGAGTTTTCCTCCCATTTCTTTTGAATACAGAGAGAAAAGTCTTTCAATGGATGTGAACTGCAGCCATCAGAGTTGCACTTTGTGTGTCAGAGCATGTTGCAGACACCTGCAAAAGATATTTTCCCTTCCTGCACAACATTCCAAATGTCCGAACTGAACACCTGTTTTCATCAGCTAAAATCCATCATCTCAGCCTTTCTTCTCCTTTTTTAACGTTCACATCCAGTTGGATGTGGACAAACCTCCCCCAGACTCAGCTGGAGTCTTTGTCCTGTGTTTTAGGATCCTCCACATTACTGGTGTGTTTTTATTGAGGATGGAAAAACACAACATCCTGGTCCCTCCAGTCAAACCCCAGGGGCCAGACCCTCTCCTCTCTGAGATCTCTTCCCAGGGCTCACACCCATCAAACCAACAGCCAAAAGTCATCCCCCATGGCTGCTCACCAGGGGAGCTCCCAAATCTGCTCCTTCACCTCCTGTCAAAGCTGAAGTGCCCTTGAAAACAAAAATGGATTGACCCAGTTCATCAAGACCCAACCCCAAGCTGGCCAATGTCACCATTCCAGGGAGAATAAGAGGAATTTGATGAGGTTGTTTTGTTTTACGGTTTTCTATTGTTTGCTTGTTTTTTAATTAAATGGATAAATATTTTCTGTCTCTTCACTGAGGTATTTTTCTTTCATTTTTGATAAAATCAATATGCTCTTTGTTACCAATATCTCACATTCAAAACTGGAGTTTAAAGGAGGCAGCTTTTTCTCTCGTTACAGGTTTCCTGTTTTCTGTTCTGAAACGTGTCTGAAACCTCCCAAAGCTCTCAGGAATCCCAGCCTGCTTTCCAAATGGCTCCAGCATCTTGGCAGAAGGGCTGTGGTCCATGAAGCCCAGGGGACCCCCATCCCCCTGGCCCTTCCCCAGCCTGTGCTCCTGCTGTCTGTCCTGAGAGCTGCCCCCTTTGCCTCCCCCCTCTCAGCAGGACACAGAGAACTGGAGCTCTCTGAGGGACCCCCGGGTTTGGCAGAGGAAGGAGCAGATCTCTGCTGTGGGAGGAAGGTTTTCCTCAAGTCTCTGGGTTTTCAGGACTATGGCAAACATCCCACTCAGGAGTTTTCCATGTGCTTTGCCTGGCTGATGTTCTGCTTACAGTGAGGGTGAGTGATTAATGCTGGGAACATTGCTTTAGTCAGTGATTAATTAATGTTAATTTATTTTTAATATTAAACATTATTCTTCATTTATTTCATTTTCTTCTGCTAATGAAGAGCTGTCTCTGGATCCCACTTGATGTCCTGCTCGAAAAGCAGGTCCTGCTTGTGAGCAGCTGCCCCAAGAGCCAGGGCAGAAACGCACCAAGGACCAACTCATCTCTCTGATGGGCTCCTAAATCACTCCTTCCAGCATCAAACATCTCCCAGCAAAGTTTTGGAACAGGGTATTTCAGAGCAGAATCCAACTGAAATACAAACTTCCTGTTCTAATTTTTCATTTCAAGCTCCTGTTGTGTGATCTCCTCATCCCATATCATCCTCCTCCTGCTCTCCCTGCTCAGCAGACCCTTCTTTCCAAACAAAACAAGCCCTGGTGAGTTCCTCGTTGACAGCCAAGTGTCTCAGCTGGGAATACCCAAGAGCCCCAGGGCCAGAGGACAAACCAACTCTCCCTGGAGCTCCAAGAGCTGCCAGAAGCCCTGGGTTTGCTGCCCACCCACCCCACCCCTGCCAGCACTGCTGCAGAGTCACTGCCATGGCCAAGGACCCCACAAAGCACCAAAACAGCAAATAATTATTGCTACTGTGCCACTTCAAATGGGATTGAGTTCGGCTCCATCTCCTCAGTAACTCATTAAGAAGTTAATAAAATGGAGCACCTGAACCCCCCTCACCAAGGACAGCAGCCAGAGAACTCGAGGAGAGGCAATTTCCCCGAGGGCCTGGGCAATTAAGATAATGCAGGAGAGCACCTATTGAGATATTAATGAGCTCCCACCAGGGCACTATTAAGTTCACAGTTTGCTGCATTTTTACTTTCCATTTCCT